TAAATGGAACAAAAGGCCATCCTGATCCTCAAGATATATGTCTCACTGAGTAGGCAGTTCCCACCAAAGGAGCCCTTCAGAACACCCAGGACCACTCAGATTGGTTACTGAAGAATAAGCCATTGGATTGCAACTGAGCAGGCAGGGCAGGCAGAATGGCCCAATCTAACCAGACATCCTGCAGGAAAGCAACACAGAGTTGAGCAAGAGAGATTTTCAAGTAACAGAGGGTATGAGCAAAGGCTGACAGAGGGAAATAGAAGATCATAAGCAGTAGCCAACAAACAGCTGAGGATCTGAGCAGAGACTGGGCTGAGAAAAGTGGGATGCGGGGAGGGAGGGGGAGATGGGGAGGCTGGATGGGGCCTGTCTGGGGGTAGAAGCAGAAGAATCAGGGTTTGCCAGTGCAGAGTGTCTCCCTTAGTGTCATGGAGTTTGGCTGAGATTTGGAGGACAGACAGCTGACAGGGTGGGGACAAGAACCCACACTTCCTAACTGGCCCCACCCCACCTAGGAGGCCTCAGCCAGCTCTTGAGCAAATGGGAATACACAGCTGAACTTTGAACTAACTTTCAATATCCTGTTGTTGAGTGAAGGAAGGAAGGAATAATGGTCAGGCAAGTGATCAAGTCTGAAGACCTTTGTTGGAGGTGGGGTGGGGGTGGGCACAAAATCAGCACCAGGGAGAGAACAGGCTTCTCACTGCAGAACTAAGTGACCAAAGCTGCTGCTTCTTGTCCCTTTCTCTCCCACAGGTCAGGAGGTAGGAAAGTTTCCCAGTCATCGTCCTTTCCCTCCCCGCTGCCATGTCCTCCAGACCTCTAGCCGCCTTCCCAGACCTTCCCAAATGAAGAGTGGGGAGCAGGCACAGCCATCAGCCCCCTAGCACTCATCCACCCCCTGCCGGTGGCAGCCTTCTCTTCAGCTGCTCTCATATTTTCCATCTGTTTCTCTCCTTTCCTCTCACTCCCTTCCTGCCCCAGCAGCCCATCCTCTCTCCTGCTGCTTCCCCTCCTGTTCATGTTTCCTGCCTTCCTGGCTACCTCCACAGCCTTCCTGGCTGGCTGGCTTGCTCCCAAACCCCAACCACACTACAGGGCCCCGATGACCTGACTAGGCCAGAGAAGGGAGGCTGCCGGCTCTCGTCCCTGCTCCCCCAATCCCTCCATTGCTACCACCAGCAGACCCAGCTCCTAGGCCTGGAACTGGTCCTACCATAAAAATAGTCATGGAAGGAGAGGTGGGCAGGGTAGGAAGGGGCTATTTCCAGGCATCACAGAGCCTGGATGGGGCAGGGACTGCTCTCACATGGTCACAGGAAAGCCCCTAGTCCTGGAGCCTGCCTCCCCCTCATCCCCCATGCAGCCAGCCCCATGGAAACCCCCACTCCCCAGGCTTTACCAGGTCCTTGGAGGCAGAAGCAGCCTGGGAAGGTATCCCACCCCTAGAGTAGGAGCATAGCCCTACCCCTGCTCCCTCAGGATCCCAGGCAAGGTGTTATCTCTCTTCTCTTCCCTCGGCCTGTGGCAAGAGGCAGAGAAACTCCTCTGACCTTGGGGCCTCCGAGTGGTTCCAGCCAAGACAGAAGGTTAAACCACCCTCTTCCCAGGCCTCTGCTGGCTGAGGCAGTAAAGCATTGATTTTACTTTCTATTCTTTCTGGTTTCTTGAGTCTGGCACCTATTCAGGGACAGGCACAGGTTCACACACATTCCCATTGTCCTGTACATACAACCATGCACATGCACCCATATGCAACTATCTGTGTACACAGCAGGCATGTATAGGCACCACCCATGCACATGTACACAGACACAGCTATTTTTATGTAAAGTAGCACACGCCCGTGTACCCACACACTTGCATGCACTTCCTACATAGTGAACACAAATACCCTTAACTTGCCACTTCCTACCTTTGGTCTCCTCCCACCCTCCAGCTGCCTTTCTCCTCTTCCTCCTCCACCGCCTCCTCCTCCTCCTAATCTTGCTTTTCTCCTCCTCCTCCTCCTCCTCCTCCTCCTCCTCCTCTATTCCTGCAAATCCTACAATTCCCCTGACCCTGCCTCCTGTCTCCTCCTTGCCTCTGGCCCACAGTGAGCTCTCTGTAGCCTGCCCAGCCCCACCCTCACTTGGAAGTACAGTCAGCTTGCAGTTCCTAGCATGGCAAAACCTCTAGTCACTCCACAAGGGATCCTGGGTGATGGAAGGGAGAAGATGAGATTGAGATAATTCTGCTTCTTTGTTACAGATAAAATAAACTGAGGCCCAGGGAGTGGGAGTCATATCTCAACTCAAGGAATGGAGACAAATGAATCTAGCTTCCTCCCTT